AAAAAAAAAAAATTGGGTTTATGTGAAAAATTATGTGATTAAAAATGAGTTTGAACAAAAAATAAGTTTAACAAACAGAAATTTATTGTGCAATAACATACATAATTGGCAATAAAATATTGCCCTTTTAGTGGAAATTAATTAATTTCAATGGTCAAGATCTTATATTATTGTGCAAAAAGACATCTCGGATATATTTTATACGTAAGTAATGTCATTCATAACTACGACTTACATAGTTTATACGACAATGGGATAAATATCACATTCTCCTGTAAAAAGAATTGTGCGTTGATGAATAGCATTACTATTTGACTCATTTTTATCCAATTTAATTCAATTTATTATACAGAATATACAGTTAATTAATTAATGAAAATAAGAAGAAGGTGCTTATAATATTCAAAACATTGCCAATTATTACAACTTAACAAGTGACAAGTAAATTACACAGTATGAATCTCGATAAAGAAAAAAGGTCGACACATCTCTTCGACTCTACCATATAAAATATTTGTTGAAATTTTTTTATTTTATTTTTTAATCATGTTCAATCTTAGAATTTAGATACTATCGGCCGTTCGGTAGGATTTCTATTATTTGTGAAAAAATTATCCTAAGTCTTTTTCAATTAAAACTCTTACGATCATATATTCATATCTAAAAAATTGTTAAGCATCCGATTGATATCCATTCTCACATCTTAAAAATGCATTTTCATGTCACGTCGCATAGGTCCGCTACAGTATTATTATTATTATTTTGGTTAATGAATTTTGTGACAAATGACATATATGCCCTCATCACATGGAATTCAAACTGTTGCCAAAGATAAAATGAAACACGTATGTGCATTGATGGAGGGGTAGAATTGAGAAATGCATGCTTGCATTGTCAAATTGTCCACGATATTTTGTTAGAGAAGTTACTACTTCAACGTTTCTTTTTTTTCTACAAATGAGGAAAAAATGTGCCCCAAACAAGGGCTGAAAAACAAATTTTAAATATCAAAAA